TTACCTACACTAATGACGTTAAAGAGGATTAGTGATGAAGTCTATATAACTTAAACATAGTTGTGGAAAAAATAAGATTCAAATTCAGCTTGACACATCAACATAATTCCAACATCTGGTTGAAGGTGATACATACGTTAATAACTTGAAAGAATCTTGAAAGTATCCAGAATACAGGGCACCTTAATCATGTAAAATAACTTAAAAAATATGAAAGTAGAAATTACGTTATTGTAAAAACGATGTTTTCTTGTTCAGTCTCTGTCTAAAAGTTCACACAAGGCTGATATATAACTCTGAGCCATCTGAAGAGTTTCGTATTTAGATAATTTCCGATCCTCACCAATCGAAGGCACTACTTCCCGAAGACGGTCAAAAGCGACATTCAAGCTGTGCATCCGGCGCCGCTCCCGAGCGTTTGCCGCCAGGCGCCTATTCTTCAGTACGGTAGGAGTTGGTATCGGTTTTTCTGAGGATTGTCGTTTGGAAGGACGGGCTTGGGTGATATTCTTCTTACATGCGGATGACTGGGAGATATGTATCATAGGGGAATCAATTCTAAGTGGTTCACACGAATGTGGGAAACAGTGAGAGTCACTTAGGCCAACTTCTACTGAACTGTCCCAGAGGTGACGGACTGAGTCTAGGGAATCAGTTGGTTGACAGCAACCTTCGTCCGAAGATTTCAACACCGGAGTCAGCTCCAACAAGTTGTGTTGAGGGTTAGTCGGAGAAGAGACTTGCTCGCTGGATGAACTTTGAAAATGTTCAGAATACGTTTGCTTCTGTGTATCAGAGTGACTACTACACGAACTGGATGCTGGACTGAAACAGTCATCAGAATAGACTTTCTGCGGTATATCTGAGCGACAATTGGGATAGCTGTCAGGATCAGTTTCGGAAAGAGCTGATTCGTAACTCAACAAAGAGTCTGTTAGTACAGTTAGAAGTGCAGTGTCCATCTTCTCTTCTGTATTGTGGCCAGTCACAGAGAGATGTTCCCGTTCTTAGCAGGACTGAGCAATCGCTGAAACTATGCTAGGAAAAACAACAACAACAACAGCAGTTCGTGACGACCTCCGCACACGTTTATCCTAATCAACAGGTAGCTGGCTAGACAGCAACTGACTCCCGCCGACCTTGTTCACCTTTATATACAAGTAGGCCAGACGTGTTGTCGGCACTTGCCTCATTACCTTGTCATCTGGTTGGGTGGTGCCTAATCCACGTACGTGGCCCTGAGCGCCCCCTCTATGGTGGAGGAAGAGTAGAAGACCATTGTCCGGTGTATTAGGGGGCACGGGCCACTTTTGATTCACTTCTAGAACATCACGAGAAAAGGGCTTCTAACACAATATTTATTCATATCTTCTGTTGTCGAAATTAAAAAGTAGCTTAAAGATTAGTAAACATTTATACGAGATACGATATTGATGAAATTTGGTTGAATGGATGGCAACTGCCTGTTGTAGAAAAACAAGTATAGAGGACGACATTTCGAAACGTCGTCCTCTATACTTGTGTTTCTACAACAGGCAGTTGCCGTCCATTCAACCAAATTTTATCATGAATACTCTGCCTGAACACTCTATCAAAGAGATACGATATTGTCTTTCACTTATTCTGAGTATTTAGGATTGGATTAATGCTATTACGAGAGCATTACGTAATAAATGAACTTCACACTTCACCAAATGATCTTGTGTGGTATTTACACATACACGTTTTTCTCAAAAATAAAGATCAGTTTCCCACATCTCCGCTTTTTTTCACAACAAATGAAACACACGACGGGCTTAAAACTTTCGGTCTTGTTCCTAGGTTTGTTCTCAGTTAGTAAGAATGATTCAAACAATTTACAGTGAATGTGTACTGAATGTCTATTGCAGTGATTGAATTTTAACAAAGTTTGTTAGTTAAAACAATATCATTAGCTCTAACAGTTTCTATTTTATTCAGTTTCGGGAATATTATTTGAAAGAGTACTTTGTAAATTCAAGCTGTTTTTTCGTAGTTTTATTTTCAGTACTGACTTAAAAAACAATAACAAAACGTATATGATATTCATGGGTATGATAACAAGTAAAAAAAAGTTTTTCAGTAGAAGGAAATTAATTTATAACGTTTGTATTTCGACAAACAAAAATCTCAGAAATCTCGAATAGTGCAGTATTATCTTATTGTGGATATTATTAAGCCTTTTTCAGATGTACTTTAAGCGTAGGTAGCCATTGTGTAGTTTAGCACAAATATTTAAAACAAACAAACAAGTCCTAAAGGGTAATATAATGTCTGCCGTCTAGTATTATAAAAACATGAAGTCTCAAAGTAAAACCATAAATACCACAGTGGTACAGCGACATGTCTATGGACTTACAACGCTAGAAACCGGGTTTCGATACCTCTGGTGGGCGGAGCACAGATAGCCCTTTGTGTAGCTTTGCGCTTAACTACAAACAAACATCACATGAACGAGAGTTCGACGCTAGAACTTTCTAATACCAAGATTTTGGCACCAAGCACCGAAAATCAAACCGTTTTGTTTCAAATAATAAGAAATGGACACTTTAGTAAAAGCGCTTTAGCGTCAAACCCGAATGTGAATAGTTTATGTAAATCTTAATAATATTATTAAGTAATAATATAAACATTATTAGGAATATTAGTATCAGCTATTTACTTATTCATATTGAAATTATTGTCAGGCTTTTCCCTTTTTTTGGAGGTATAATAAAAACATTTCATTTATATAAATATATTTAAGACAAAACACTGGAATATCATACCATTCTGCCCCCCCCCCCCAGTGGCACAGCAGCATGTCTGTGGACTTACAACGCTAGAAACCGGGTTTCGATACCCGTGGTGGGCAGAGCACAGATAGCCCAAACAAACATACCATTCTATTTTCTTCTCTACTTTACTAAGTTCTTCAACAGGTTTCTTGACTTCAGGATATAATTTTACTGAGAATCTTTGACAAAGACATACAAATGCCGGTTTTCAACTAAACATAAATAATCTAAACTAAATACTTATATGTATATATATATATGGATAACATACGTGATAAAAAGCATGTGTTTTAATTACATTTTTTATTAAAAATAAACTGTATTATCTATAATTCTTAAGTTTGTTTGTTTGTTGTTAAGCGCAAAGCAATGGGTTATCTGTGCTCTGTCCACTTCAGGGATCGAACCCGAATTTTAGGGTTATAATCTATCTAATTTACTGCCGAGCCATTTGTGCTAATGAATCTTGAGAAAGATTTAATTTGATAGGATACATGCTTGGGAATAAGAGTTTGTTTATAGAGCAGACATTTAAAGTATATTCTAGAAAGAATTATACACACTTGAAATTAAACCACGCCATGGTAACGACGGCACCCCTATTGGCAAAAACCTACCTATTCCTATAACTAATATCAATTAAAATGAGTGAATATTTATAGCATAAAAGTAATTGTGCTTGGGTCACGTGCATCTTCATGTTCGAATCATAAGTGGAATTAAGGTTTATTTATACTTAACAATTGAGCGTCAGGTGTCTCGTAAACAATTAATCACGTGACACACTGTTGTACGTGAAATGCTATTCTGCAAAACGAAACCGCACTTTCATATTTATTTCGGTATACGTTTTGTCATCAGACTACATCTGCATCTGTTAAACAGCCTATTATGGTAACTAGCTGCACATGCAACACTTAATGAGTACAAGTATATATTTATATTACTTTCTGTAGAAACTGCTGCGGCTTGTGTCTGGTTTAGATGTGCGAACGATTCACTGCGCATCAGTCCATGATTTATATGACAGCAGTAAAATTTTATAGTCTAAATTCACCACGTGGTGACACTAGTAAACGAATTATATACGTGATTCCAGGTATTTTAAGATTCTTCTCACGTGCACTGGATGAAAAACAATAAATATTTACATGTTCTATAGAGAGAATCTTCACCATAATTCAGGTCAATAAACAAAGTTTGGATGGAAAACAGTAAATATTTCCATTTTTCTACTTGTGTAAATATTTATATGCTCCATAGAATGTCTACACCATAATTCTTTAATACAGTAATGTATTTTCTCCTTTGACTCTGGTCCGGCATGGCCAGGTGGTTAGGGCGCTCGACTCGCAATCTGTAGGTCTAGGGTTTGAATCTCCGTCACACCAAACATGCTCGCCCTCTCAGTCGTGGGAGCGATATAATGTGACGGTCATTTCTACTATTCGTTGGTAAAAGAGTAGCCCAAGAGTTGGCGGTGGGTGGTGGTGACTAGCTGCCTTCCCTCTAGTCTTACACTGCTAAATTAGGGACGGCTAGCCTCGTGTAGCTTTGCGCGAAATCCGTAACAAACAAACAATCCTTTGACTCTAACGTAAACACATTGTGAACCCACGTATATTGTTGTTTCGTGAAATAATTGTGCCATTTCATTATTCAACACGTTCTACAATTGTCTATCAGAATGTCAATTGAGATACTATTCTTAAAAGTTCCGTACATAGTAAAACTAAAAGTTGGGTGTGATTTATAACCATATTGCCATTTATACATAGGACTGATATTATGACATCAACAATAGGTTTAATAAACGTGTAACATTGGTTACAAAAGACAGATCCTGACAGTCCACTCTTGGCTCGATCCATTCTTACATAATTACAAACTCCGGATGATCGTAGGTATGTTCAGACACATACTTGCTGAAGTTTCAAAGAGGTACTTTTACCCATACAATGTTATAGTTTGCTCATTTGCAAGAAACGCTCAGAAATTTTCTCATCACGTTTCCAGTATCATTGAGTTAACGGTATTCGTTCGTATTTCTGTACGGGGTGATGAAGAGTGATAATAGATCTTGTAAGTAAACACAAGATCTACTTATTCTGGTCTCAACATGAAGCCGAAACCTGTAAAATAATGGAGTAATAACGAAATAATGTAACATGAAAATGTCTTGAACTATTATATATTTTCGAAAAACCCACCAGAAGCCCCTGCCCCTCTTGAAGATGTACACGTGACGACATAACCTATACTTGTTTACAACTGGTGATATATGTGCATTGTATTGTGATTTTTGTTGTCAACTTATAGGTCTAGCTTTCGGCGTATAACTTCGCGACTTCTAAGGTGTTTCATTTATATGTATACGAATAAGAAAATTATAAAAAATATCTTAGGACCATTCTATCCAATAAGAACGAATTTTCTACCGTGAAAATGGCAAATATTTGAAGTCACCTTGAATTCTATATTTCCATTTATTACATCAATTTCGATCTTGTTGTATATTTTCCTTTCCTTGTAAACGAAGATGTTTAAGAGCAAACTATATGTTTTTGATGTAATTCAAAGATTAACTGCTTTCTAGAGTAGTGGATATGTATATAAACGGCTTATAATATAAGCCGCATTAGCGGAACTGCGCTGGTTGGGGGAGACAAACTAAGCGACAATCTGTCGTCTCAATGCAGTCAGACTTCCGGCACAAAAAGAGAAAATGCGTAGAGATAATCCATTCATAATTATGGTTTTGTTAGAGATAACTGTTCGTAATTGTTTAACTTCAAATAAGCTGCATTGTGGTAGGTCTAATTGATGCGAACATTTAGCCATAGCTGGTCTCAGATAGGTTTTCGGTGAAGTTTGTGATAGATAGTTTATCTAACTTGTACGAGAAATTACTTTAAACAACGTAGAGATGTTATTTGTTTTATTGTTATCAGCATAAATAACATTTTGAAGGGTTGTTTTGTTTAAAGTCGTAAATACGTCTAATTCGGAATATGGAAACGTACAGCAAAAGAATATCGTAACAGTTTATCCCCTGTCAAAAGCCTCCTATTGGCACAGCGGTATGTCTACGGACTTACAACGCTAGAATCCGGGTTTCGATACCCGTGGTGGGCAGAGCACAGATAGCCCATTGTGTAGCTTTGTAC